ATTATATTTTTAGGATTTTTTGATCATTTCTTCATGATTTTTTGAGAACTTTTTCATGCTTTTTTGGGTGGTTTTTAAGTGATTTTTTGCGCATTTTTTGCCATTTTTTCATGATTTTTTAAAGAGATTTTTCAGGAATTTTTTGAGGATTTTTTGGGTGGATCCTTAAATCGAAAAAAACCCGGAAAACCTCCTCAAAAACACCCCCCACACTCCCTAAAATTCCATTTTATCCCTTTTGCAGGTCCAGCGGGTGATGCCCAACGACAGCTTCTACTTCTCGATCGTTCGCGACCCGGGCACTTTGGGCGAATCCGCCTTCTCGTATTTCCGCGCCGCCGCCCCGGCTTTCCGCAATTCCCCTTCCCTGGACGCTTTCCTGGCTTCCCCTTCTCGTTTTTTCCGTCCCGGCGTTCGGGGCAATCACTACGCCCGCAACCTGCAATGGTTCGATTTCGGCCTCCCGGAACCGAAGAATTCCCAAGAAATCCCGGCCATGCTGGAGGCTTTGGAGCGCGTTTTCCCTCTGGTTCTGTTGGCCGAGAGTTTCGACGAGTCGCTCGTGCTGCTCCGCCACCGCCTGTGCTGGCCGCCCGACGCCGTGGATTTGTTCCCTCACAATTCCCGCGGTTCCTCCCGCCAGGTGTCGCCGGCTCAAATGCGGCGCCTCCGCGCCTGGAATTCCTTGGATTGGGCTCTTTATTCCCATTTCAACCGCAGCTTCTGGCGCCAGGCCGAGCGCTTCGGGCTGCGGCGCCTGCGGCGAGAGGTGGCCGAGATCCGGCAGCGCCGCCGAGCCTTGGCCGCCAAATGTTTGAGGGGAGGGGGTCCCGTCCCAGCCCAGGCCATTCCCGACGGGAATCTCCGGCCTTTCCAACCCCCGGGGGGAGGGAAAATCTTGGGGTTCGCCCTCAAGGAAGGGTTGGGAGCCGAGGAACGGGAATTGTGCGGCCGCCTGGCGATGCCCGAGCTGCCCTACAAGGATCTGCTGGAGCGGCGCCAGTTCGGGCCCAAAAACGGCACTGCCGCCTGAAATTCCCGAATTTTCT